TATATATATATATATATATATATATATATATATATATATATATAGATAGTTGTATGTATATATTTCTGCGAATTGGGTCCATGGATGCATCCCCTCTCGACTTATATATATTACTGTTGCCCAATCAAGTTTATAAATTAGTAATAAATATAACAGTAAATAAATTTATATAATTATGCATACGTAAACTTGGGTTTACGTGCGCCGGTTGCATGTTTGAATGCCTTATATATATATATATATAGATAGTTGTATGTATATATTTCTGCGAATTGGGTCCATGGATGCATCCCCTCTCGACTTATATATATTACTGTTGCCCAATCAAGTTTATAAATTAGTAATAAATATAACAGTAAATAAATTTATATAATTATGCATACGTAAACTTGGGTTTACGTGCGCCGGTTGCATGTTTGAATGCCTTTTTTGTCTTTCCACATGAAATATTGATGGAACATTTGCCTACCGATTCTCTTCATAGAATATTCAGAGAAAATTATATTCTTAATTGTATTTTTTTTTCTGTTCTGAGAATGTTCAACAAATTTCATGTTTGTCATAAATAAAAACAGAATATATGACGGATATTTTAGATTTTACTCGTTTTCGTTTCTGATTTTGTTTTGTTATATAAAATCTATACATATTCCATTAACAAAATATTTATTATATATATTTTTATTTTCATATTTAATTCAGTTTCATCATTTAGTGTTTAAAAATTATATTCAATCGAAATTTTAAGTCGAATCGAAGTTGGTAAATATTATGTATTATTCTATTGGATTGGTGATTAATAAATAGACAAACAACAATATCCGATGTACCATAATCCATGTATATATATATATATATGCTCTTTGCATTATAAATCTTCCGTGTATAGGTTATCGATAATAAGAGAACAAAGAAGTACTAAAAAAATTAAATTTTTTAAAAATTCGCTGTAGAAAGTCCAAACGATGTTGCGAAAGACTATGAAAGCATATACGAGACTAACAACAACGTTGTTGCATGTCCACATGAGGCGGTGCATGCATGACAGCTTTGTCCGACCATTTTCTATTATAATTAATTTGTTAATCGTCGTCGTCGTCGTCGTCATCACTGGCTTAATCACGTACGCTCTTTTTTTTTTAATTATAAATAACAAATATTTGTATGATTATTTTGTCGACGCTCATTTATTTTACATTTTCTGTCATCTCGTCTACTCGACATTTTAATAAAATTCTTTTCAGTAGATACTGTGAATAGTTTAAAACTCAATTATTTTCAGATAAACGTAGCTTATAGTTTAGATATCACATAAATTGAGATTATGTTCTATTCTTTTTTTTTTTTTTTTGATAACGGAGCGTCCTGGGCCGGAACCCAGACTAATCTCCGGGCCGGGAGCAAGCCATGTGCTTTGAAATATTCGCTCCCCTCCCCATCCTGGGGTTATGTTCTATTCTTTGTGTAACAAAAAAGGTTGAATGTTAGGGCTGCAGTCTGCAGATGTTTATAATGTTACCCGATATGTAATTTTAAAATCGCATAATTTGGGTTATATAGAAATATGGACGGTACGGTCAAATGTTGATATACAAAATACAATGTTTCTTATTCATTCAGAATGTTAATTAGGACAATGCTCACGTTACTGTTAGGTGTAAGCTCAACAACCTTAAGAAACAAATTTCTATATAATTAGGCACCAGCGCAAATCACTATTCCACTTTTTCATATATAGTTTTATTAAACAAAATCAGAAAATTCAAATATATTGACAAAAAACGGAATAGAAACCAACACAACAACTATTTCATATCGATGTCTAAATTCGAATATGTAAAATTTAGATCGACACTTAAGTTTGGATATACAGATTCAGTGGAATAACATATATTTATATTTAAAATGAATTTGATTTTTAAACGAATAGATATAAATTTTAAAATCATATTAAGCAAGTTTTAGTGAAATCTAAAAATAAGCAAAAGAAGATAAGGAAAACAAATATATATATATATATATATATATATTAAAAAGGATATAGCATATCCGATCTGATCTCTAATGAAATTTGGATTGAGACAAAAATCAAAATAAAACTGAAGAATATAGTTTTTTATTTTAAAAAATGGAAATAGCAGAAGGAAAACATGAAATATACATATGTAAATGTAACTATCATTGGAACCATATGGACCTCTTTCGGAAAATTCTTTTTATCTGTATAAACAATCTTGAGGATTTAATAATTGAGGGTCAGCCCTTATGTCATATAAGAATGTATTTAGGGATGAGATGAAAATTTTCCAATTATTTTTCCAAATCCATATTTTAAAATAAATATATCTGTATGTCACTATAATGCGTACCTTGTATTATTTTGGTACGATCATAAATTATAGTAACACAATTTAATATACGAAATGTTTTTTGTGCTCCACTGTGTATGCTCAGGACTTGTCTCGTACTTTGGACGACATGACTATGAAAAATAATATGCAAGACATAATTTAATTATTTCCCACAAACATACAACAAGGAAAATGATATTTTTTTTATACCATTATTAATATTTTTTTTGGGTTTACTTTATGTTAACTTTGCGTCGAGGTTATGCCACTGCATGGGACTTTGTTTGTGTTCTGCATTTTTTTATTAAAAAGTTATATATATATATATATATATAATACGTGTTATTATTATTTAATATTTTTTGTTGAATTTCACAAAGACATATTTCTGTATACTTATACCTATGCAAAAAAGGAGAAATAATGTATAAATACGTGAACTTTTATAAAAATCTCATATAAATACCTGAACTATAAAATTTTCATATAAATACCTGAAATTTTAAAAATCCTATATAAATACCTAGACTTTTAAAAAAAATTCCAAATAAATACAAATTTCAGGTATTTTCAAATAAAATAGGTGATATTATTAACGTATTTTGGGTTTATTTGGAAGTTTTTCAGAAGTCTAGGTATTTATATAGGATTTTAAAAAAGTTCAGGTATTTATATGGGATTTTTGTAAAAATTCAGCTGTTTATATGCGATTTTCTCTTATGGGGAAAATCAAATTTATAAAAAGAAATTCAAATAATAATTATTAAGATATCTATTGATCTTTTTGTATTGTACATAAACAATTACATGGCAATTTTTTACGTACCATCGCTCTCATTTAGAGTCTTATTTTTTTAATCGCGTTCACTCTGATGTAACAATTCAATCTCACTTACACCTTCCTTCCCTTATTCATGTTTTTTTTTATTAATACAAATATCTTATAGAAAAAATAGTTAAAAATTTGGATTTTTTAAAAAAATAAATAAACAGAACAAAACATATGCATTTCAAAGTTTTTTTTATATCATA